TTGTGATCTTCAGCGTCATTGTCGGAGCACTCAACGGCTGCCTCTCCATTGCTCTCATTGTGGCTTGGCGCGATCCCCTTGGATCATGCATCATACGGGTCTGTGTGGGGCCAGGGGAGACACCCTGGCCCAAGTCTCGGGCCGACCAAGTGGAACGTTGCTTTGGTTCTTGACCCACCGAGCCCAACCGCACTGATGTAAAAAACGCACTGAGCGGAAACACAAGTATCGAAACCTCGGCAAGGGAGATATCTTCTGAAAACACCCATGAGGCGATGGGACAGGCTTCTCTTTGGTGAAAGAGACATAGATTGGTTAACCATCAGCACCTTGTTGTTGTTGGGCCAATCCAACGGCGAGATTGACTGTCCACCTCACCGTCAGATATCAAAAGAAGAGTTTCAACTTGTCGACACATGATATCACATGTTCACCTACCCTTTTCGGGGTGTTTGTGGCCCACAACCATAGGGGGTGTCTCAAAATGATCAGACCTTCCAAACAGCTTGCGCATGATGTTGACAACCTCTCATTTTTGAGTTTAAAGATGCTTCACCATCGCGGCACATCTCCGTATTGCAATGCATTGCACTTTATTAACATTCATGACATTTCTGCCGAGGTCATCCAATTAGTCCACGCAATGGTTGGTTTGAGAGGCATGACATATAGGCTTTCACCTCTGCCAAAAGATCTTCCAGGCACAGGATGCATTGCAAGAGGAGTCTGCAGTTCAGGCGCGATGCGCGCGGAGCTGGGAAGTGGAGGCTTGACTGACAAGTCCACTTGAAGATTTCCTGGGAGGTGTTGGAACAACCCAAACGAAAACAAATATGGATGTCGAAAACCCACACAGTCTTGGGATGTCTTTTCATGTCTTTTCAAATTCCTCATTTGGCACCGCCTTTTTCGTTGTTCCCGGTTCGGCGAATATACGAAACGCCCATGGAGTGCTGCGCGGCTGCTTGAGGACCGCGAGTTGGAGCAGGGCACCGTGCTGGCGGCGTTGGCAGGCGCGGTGGCAGGCGGTGGGGGACGTTTTGAGCACTTGGTCTTAAGCACTCCGCAGAAATGGAGAAGTCCTACAGAAGAAACACGTCAGAATGTGTGTGTTGGATGGTTCACTGTCTTTGCCCTATGCGACAGTGTAGGTTGTTCACACAAATCACCCAAGAGATAGACTGGGTCATTTTTGTTGGATTTGTTCGAGATTCCTGCAGTCAAACCACTATATAATATCTGTTTTTCAGGTCATTCCCCAGCATGTGCACTGGACCATCCCCAGACACTCCATGTATGCCGAGTGGTTGAACAGGGGATCCATATTGGCATATCGCCGTGAAGCTCAAGGGAGACAGGCACCTCGACCTTGGCAGGGTGCCTCCCCTTCAAACCAACACACATGGGTCCATCCAGTCCCAGAGTCCCATGGAGTCTGGGATGGACCAAACCGCCAGTTCTGGGCTCCCGTGAAAACGACATGTTCCAGGAGTTGTCCGTGGGGACGCAGGGGACGAGGTGGACCGTCCACGGTGAAGTGAAGTATATACTCGTTCCTGACTGGAGAGAGCGAAACTGTACATGGAGATCAACCACAATACAGGGACAGATACCGTAATGCCTAGGGAACTATCTACAGTCAGAGTTTTCCACAATCCAGGAGCAAACAATGAAGCACTTCTTGCGGTTCTTGCGGTGCGCAAGAAACACACATGTGAGCACAAACATGACACCCCAGGGGTCCAGCACGTCCAAAGACAAACTCCAAGAAGGACTCATGTGACTCATGTAAATTCTTGGGGGTTATTGGGGGATCTTCCAAATGCGCCCATTGTGTTGAACCATCACTCAGACTGAGAAACATGAATTCCGTATCAAAGTTTATGGCAAAGAGCCTGCGGCAGTTTGCCAGGAAGTTGTGTTACATACATTGATGTATACATTGGAAGGTTCAGCTTGAGGCATTTTCCCCAAGATCACAATCGCCTCAAGCCGGGTCTCAATGCAGCCCTCCTATCAATAGCGCTTCTTTGGAACCCCTTCCCAATTGTTTTCAGGTGCAATGCAATGTTGCTGCAACTTGGCAATGACCCCGGACCCGTGCTGCACCCGTTTTCTGCACAGACCCGTTTTTTTCTGCAGGGACCCTGTGGCACGACCGTCGCGCGGAGCACTGCGCTCCTCCGAGGCGAGGTGAAGCTCGTGGAGGAAGGCACCAGCAGCGAGATGCCGCCCGTTCTGCGAGACCCAGGCGTTCCGCGACGTCCGGCGAGCGACGTCCGGGCGATCCGAAGCGGGTTCGAGTCGGAGCCGCAGGTGGATTTTAGGTGGTTTTTTGGTGTGTTTTTTGTACATGAGGATGAGAAGATCCTGTCTTTTTTGAGTTTTTTTGCAGAGGATGAAGGGATTATTAGTTTGTGTTTACCTTTGTTGGCGAAACAGATTGTGGACATCGTGGACATCCCGCATGAATAGGATCAATGTGATTCAATGGCCGTAAGAGGCCCTTGCGAGGTGATTTTTACAGCCAAGGTCTGGCGGTCTGCCTGAAGGTGGCTGGTTCCCGCTGGTCATGCTATGGTAGAAACTGGATGAGAAGGGTCCTTCAAAATGACGAACCCTCAAAGGTATCTTACGTCAATGTCATTACAAACATGTCAATATCTAGACCATAAGGTAGAGCCCAAGGTAAAGGCAAAGGCAAAGGTATGATACTATACATAACATGTCATGAAATGTCATTTTTTGTGACATATATTCTCGTGGCATTTCTTGGCTCAATCACCGCAGGTGGAGGCCAATGTGGGGTGTTTGTGTGCAGGTCAATGCGGGATTCGTTTTCGTGTGGAAGTCGCATTGGTCAGAACTTGGGGCGCTCCGACTTCACCCCGGGAGTGGAGTTCACCACCTGTTTGGTCTTGGGCATCCGACTTCATCCACGGAGCCATGACATCCACCGAGTCGAAACGACGAGTCGATTTCGTGGACGATGTGGGTGTGAAGTGCGTCGGCAGCGAAAAAGGAACGCAGAAGAAATGGAGTTGAGTCGATGGAGTCAAAGGAAGAAACAGGTCCTCCAACCATCCATCCACCTCCCCCCAAACAAAAGCACATATGATATACCTAGCACTTCCAAGTAGGGTGCCCTGTCTGGAGACCATTTCTTTAGTGACCGATGGTCCAGCCAGGTGACCGGAAGCGCGCACCCCTCGCTCCGGTGAGCCCACCAGGTGGACCTTCCCCAGAAAGGCAGGTGGGCCGAGCAGCGCAGGGAGCGCGGGATTGGTGGAAGACCGAAGTCAAGCGACCCAGTGAGATCCATCCGAGATCAGTGAGGGTCAAGAGATTCCGAGACATGAAAGCCACTGCTCCAGCACCTCGTGACCAGATTCTCTAGTTGGGCCCCTCCGACTGACGTGATGCAAACTCCTCCCATGTGAGAGTATGTGAGACTTCTACAGGAGTCGACGTTATACGCTTAGAGTTTAGAAGTTTAGAGAACAATGAATATTGAATTTGCACGCGGCGGCCGATGGTTTGTTCGGACATCGGGAAGCAGTTCATGGTGAAAACACGTGAAAACCATTCCACACAGAATTGGTTGCTAGGGGACATCTACTTTAAAATCCATCGTTATGGCCATTTTCGTCTGCTCGGTTTCCGTGAGCATCACGGACGAGCGAATCGGATCGAATCGTGGATCGATCGCGATGCGTTTGTTCGACGACGGAGACCCTCCACAGGGATCTTAATGGACTTTCCCTTGTGGAAACGGAGGGCTAACATAGACAGGATATGACGATCAATCACCCATGCATAGTCCCAAGCATATACATGTTACACAAATAAGAAGGCCCGCCTGAGGGGTGTCTAATAATAGCCCTTAGAGGAAGTTAAGGGGCCATGCATCACCCCTTAATTAGTGGGCCCTGGTGCATACTCCACGTTTTCCTGTGGGGAGTCCTTTGCATCTTGAGATCCTCTTGGCCTTTTCCCAAAACATTCACGTTGCACGTCAGGCTTGGCCGCAGCATGAACGACGACATGGCCATGTTGTGAGTCGTGAGGAGAAAAAATAACAATGCTGCGCAAACGTCGATCCAGACTCGCAGAGTCACTCCCACCTCATAGTGTATGAGTTTCTGATAGCTTATGAGGCCCACAACGCCCACAACGCGGTGGTTTGAGAACATGGGAAGTTGACCCGCCAATTGGACCCCTGCTTTGAAGGGAACATCGGTGAAGCCCAGGGAAAATCGGGGGGTTGAAGGCCATGGGGGTTGAAGGCTTAGACCTATGGACCCATGGCAGTGCGTCTTAGATTCCATTGAAGCCTTTGCGAGTGTAGGTGCGCGAGTTTTGAGATGGTCATCCTAAATACATCCATCCTCCCTATTTCTTGAGGATGACGTACACATGACCACATGCACTTTTGCCATATTATGGGTGTGGGCTTTGACACCCGGGCGCCCTGGTTGACCCCCCTGAGAATGAGATTCCTCTAGGATTTATGACGGATCTATAAGTGATGTCAACCTACCATAGATCTCAGATCCTTTTGGTTGGGAAGGTCCTGAGAGTTTGTGAGGACCTCTTCACCGCCAGCCCCGGTGCCAGAACGTCGCCGTCGCGCGTCGCAGCCGATGAAAGCCATGTGGGGAGCAGAAAAGAGACGCAAAAAGACTAGCAGAAACTCTTCTATAGCTCTTTAGTCTATAGCTTAGATTTCCTGCAGATTTTGAGCCATAGTGCAGATGCCAACTCCGTATATGATTAGAACTTAGAACACAAAAAGACCAGACTCACAGATGGTGATAGGCAGAGCCGGCAGGTTTCACTTTTTCATGCCACAGCCGCCCCAAGACACCGCCCCGAGACATTCGGGTCAACGAGCTTCGGCACCCCACGGAGACGGCCATCGCTGCAAACAGCGAACGACCGGAACGATTGACCGGAACGAACGGACAGACGGACAGCCATCCCCCAAGAAACCATTCCAACACGCCACACGCTGGGCGACCGATTCCGCCAGAGTCCTCGGCGGAATCCGTTGGGAAGAAGATCGGATTCCGCCGCATGGCCATGCCGTGCCGAAGTTCAGAGTGGATCGCTTAGTGATGAAGGAGGAGCGGGTGGGATGTTCCGTGGCTTCACCGAGGCTTCACCGGGGGGGGAGAGACATGAGTCGTGTAGGTTGGGTACTGCACCTCTGGGCCTTTGGGCACAGCATTCCGCTACACAAAAAGCACCCATAGAATCCTGTAGAGACTCATAGACTATCATAGACTATCATAGACTCATAAAGCTTGAGAATGACCCTTTGTGGAGGAAAAGGGTCTTGAGTCTTGAACATGGATGTCGATGCAGGACAACCACACAACCACCCATCATTAGTCCCATTCCAAAGCACTCTCCCCACACCGAACTCGCTGCTGTCGTACCATCAGAGGTCCTTCCTGAGCGCCTGAGAAACGATCTCCACGCCATGGCAGAGGAGATGGGGCGCTGTCCGGAATCTGTTGAAAGCATCCCCGACAGCCCCATGTAGGGTTTAAGTGGTTCAACCTGCAGGTCACCTTTATTGACGGATTGGAGATACCCCACTCAAAATACTCAAATTGGGTTCAGGTTCAGTGCGTGTTTCGCTCCCTTTCAACACCTCTTCGCTGGCGAGAAGACGGGTCGGTCCGGATCGTCCGAGAAGACGCCCACGCCGTCGTTCAGACGAGGAGGAAAGACCCGCGAGCAGCAGTTTTCGTCGGTGTTTGGAGGGTGCTGCTGGAGCCGCGAACGTACCAAAGACGGTGTAAGTGATTGCGGTGTAAGAGTTTCGAGGGAGATTCTGAGTTAGAACACCCACATGCTTGGTCGAAGATGCGAGTCATGTTTGATACCCTGAGAGTCTTGCGACAATTGCTCAGGAGGATCGGGAAGCGAAGCTGTTGAAGGTCCAAGAGAAGCAGGTAGCCTCAGAGGGGCAATGCTCCTGATGGAACTTCACCCTCGATTGGAGTTTTGCGACCTCTGAGGGTGGGGCAATTTTTGCATGGTTTGATGATGATTATTATACCTGGAAAGCCATGAGAGTTGCTACAACTTTTACTTTGTTTTCTCCAACAAACTGTTGACAAAAATACGGTGTTGCTATGGGTAGGCCTGCCATACTCTTTTGATTTAACCATTCTTTGTTGGGTCATTGTGGGTAAAAACCAGTATTTGGACAAACAAGCTGAACGTTACGGCGTTTCCCAGACTGACTAGGTTGTTTTTGGCTTTTGGCTTTCCAGGTACTGTATAATCTGGGTTGGATCGATCCAACGGGACATGATCCCAGAATTGGTTGAAGGGAACATCTACAGGAAACCCATGGTTTGGGAGATGAAAACCATGGGTATTCTGTAGATTTCCCCTTAAACAAATTCTAGGAATGATTCGTCTTTTTGAGATTGTTTGAGACTTTTCGTACTTTGAAAAGACTTGGTGATCTAGCATGACTATCGCTGGTTCTCGCTGGTTTGTGGACTACGAACTATCAGGTCATGTACCTAGACCTGTGATAGACGTGTCAAGTCTTCATGCAGCGATATTTTTGTCCACCAAACCAACCGCTTTGACGGTCAACAACAGTCCTTTTGCCGCCATCTCCTCTACTCTGACATGTGGGTCTACCAGGGCGCAGCTGGTGTTTCGAAGAACTACCCTTTGACTTAACATGGAAGTGGATGGCAACACCTCCATTTTTTGGATAGGAAGTGGATTGGAAGTGGATGGTACCCACCTCCCCCATGCTTGGCCATTTACAGTGCTTTCAGAGTAGATGGCGCAGTCCTGATATATGTGGGGGCTCCATCCAAACCCTGCCGGGGATTGTGCCATCTACTTTTAGCCAACCACTTCAGTTCAGGAAGTGGACCATCCCATGGACCACATGGACCGGGCGTCCTCCACTTCCGAGTCGATGGGTCGATCAGCGGTGAGGGGCCGCTGCATTCGGACAGACGTGGAAGATCCTCACTGAATCCTGAGGAAGGAATCACGAATCACACTTGTTCCAGAGGAACTCACCTCTAACCACCACCACCCCAAACAAGGGCATGGCGGCATGGATGTCAGATCCACGTCACGACGGTCAGGTGTCGATCAATCGCCTCGTAAGACGAGGTGATTCGGAGTGCTCAAACACCACCGGACGGTCTTCGTGTTATTAGCTTGCTAGCTCACTTGCTGACCGCATGCCAAGTGGCATTGTTTCATCACGGCTCCTGAGGCTGGATTTCTTGATGACGAAGGAAAATCTACAGGAGGAGGGCAGGGCCCGGGCAGGGCGGTTCTTGGGCTCGGAGTCCACCACCTTTGTCCGGTCCAACGCCGAGGTCTCCGGTCGCGCCGACCTCCCAAAACGGTCGACAGGTCCCGACCCGGTGGCCGGGCCACCCGATGGTTTTGAGTGGCGGATTCTTATTGCAAGTGTCAAAACGGTATGGGTATGGTCCTTGAGATCCCTGAGTCCAGTCGATTTTGGACATGGTCCTGACATCGGTGGCTGGTCCGTCCTACTTCGGTGGGGCCCAAAATGATCGAATCTGGGACGCGACAGCGGGGGATGAACGGTCGTCGCGGGTCGGACGCAGAACGAGCCAAACCGGTGGTCGTCGTCGTTGCGGGTCGGAACTCCATCGGCTGAGGACGGGAAGAGGTCGATGTGTATGAGGCCCCCGAAAAGAGCCCCGTGAAAGAAGGTAATATATCGGACATACGAGCGGACTGTTCGCGTCAGCTACTCGCCCCTGGGAATCAGAGAATTCAGATTCGCCAGGCCAACATCGCCTCCCACCAAGGCTCAAGGCCAATGCCTTGCCAAGAGTCGCGCCGCAGACATGGGCACACGAACCGTAAGGGCACGGAGTGCAGCAGCAACTGTGCGAGCTGTGGCATCCGGCCATGGCAAACAGTAGGTCAAAAACTGCTTCTGAATCCCCAGCTCAGGCTTACACATGAAAGTCTCCTCCAACTCAAGACTAAAAAGGCGAACGAGCTCATCAAACAAAACACGAAAAGCCCTAAGCTTGGTAGCCAAAGTGCTAAGGGTTTCACCAGCAGCAACCGAATGACTGGACTGCCATCGCAATCCGCCATGAAAAGAAACCTCAATTGGCAACTCCTCAGTATACCAAAGATGAAAACCGATGCGCAATTCTAAAATGGTGGTGGGCACATAGAAATCTGCCTGCTGGTCAAGCTGTAAAAACCAGCTGTGCAGAGCATGTGCATGGCGGATACCAAAATTTTGCAATACGGCAGACTCGGAAAACAAACGATGGGGAGAAAGGGGAAAAAGCTCAGTGAAAGAACCGTCAGCCAACAAAGCATCACCAAAAATCACATCCAAACACTCAAAAACATCCTCTTCATGGTCCCAAGTGTTCTGCCAATTAGACTGCACCTTAAGAGCAGTGCGGGCAAGATCCAAAAGAAAGTCACGACACCTAATGCCTCTCTCAGACCAAAGTGCATGCCAACGTCGCGCAGCAGCGTGAGCAGCAGCCGCCTCCGCAGAGGGCACCACATCGGCAATCTGGTTGAAGCGAAAAGTCCATTCATCATGATCATCAACTGCATCCTGAGTGGAACGATGTGCTTTGACTTTGCAGGCAGAAATGGGAGTACCAAAGCAAGCCAGAAGATCAGCGACCAAGCCCCACAGGTCTTGGTTGCGCCAGTGCGACGGCACAGCACCAATATGGGCCAGCTCATTAAGTCCATCATGAACATATTGAAGGGTATATTGTTGCTTGTCTGAGCGTTGGTTTGTTTGGTGTCTAGACTGCAAGACACCATGAAAACCACGAACAAGCTTCAGCCTGCGGGTACCAACTGATATTCTGCATGCATCTTCCATTGTTGCTGGGTGCTCAAGCATTTGTGCAGTGTATGCTTGGGCCTTGGTAGCTATCGTGTAAAGTTGCTCGCGGCTACCTCCAGCCATGGGTGGGTGGTTCAAGCTTTGCTAACTGCTACCTGTCTCATGCTGATCAATTTTGGTATGTCCGCCTTGCAGCTTTCTTTGCCAGACCTTGCTTTGAGAGTGATGGCTGCTGTGGAGCTCAACTCATCTGAGTTGAGGATCGGTTTCCGCCACTGTTTCAGGCATGCACTTTCCTGTCCTGTGTCACTTTGAGATGGCTGCTGGGAATTCAAGTGTTTGTGCTGCTTGTACGGTGTGAGCTACCGCCCGTTTTCGGGCTGGATGTGCAAACTCACACTTTTTGACAGCGCGATCACTCCTTTTCGGAATTCACATGTACAGGAGGACAGCCAACACATGCCGCAGTTCTCCAGGCATTTGGATGTTGTGGGCTGCGGACGGGTTTGTGATGCGAACCTGCTTTCTGACAGCAGAGACTGCTACGGGCAGCCATCACATGACGCGCTGGCTTCTGCCAGCTGGCGCGTGCCTAAATTAGCGGCCGCCTCCGCCGAGCGGCTGCTGCCAGTGCTGGAGGGTGGGGATTTTGTTTGTACACACTGGGGCAGTGTGGCAGCAGCTTTGATGTCT